GAGGGCTCTGGTTGCTGTGCGGGATCTCTCAGTGTCTGCCATCCATCGTGCGTCTAGCTGCTGCGTTTGGTGGGGTATGAGGTTAGACTTTCTTCCCCTGAGATGCTGGGAGTCTGGCTGGGAGATATACCTCACACCCCTACTTTGATCCAGGCCTCTGCTTCAAGTGTGAACTTTCTTTGCTTTGTACTGAATGTGTGTGGAGTCGCTACTAGCAGGTCCTGCGAAGCGTGGCTAATGTGGAAGGTGTTTTGCTGGGCCATTTCCCACTGTTCTGCAGTTTTCTTCCTTTGAGAGTTCCTTATGCATTTGGATCCCACTCAAGAAAGTGAAGCCTCTAAATGAAAAGACTGTAAAGACTTACACAGTCCATGGGGGCGCCTGGGAGAGTACTTGTCTAGTGTGCACAGAGCCCTGGGTTCGATTCCCAGCACTGAATAAACTGGGTTCACCCGTGTAATGTCAGCATTCAGGAGGTAGAGGGAGGAGGGTCAGAAGTTCAAGGATAGGCCAGTGAGATGGCTCAGTGGGTAAAGGAACTTGTCACCAACCTGAATGATGATGAGCCTGGTGATCTGACTTTGATCCCCAGGAACCCACATGGAAGAAGAGAACAGTCTCCTGAAAGCTATCCTCTGACCTTCACCTGTGGTGGAATCTTCTCACTCCTGGCCAGGCCAGGCCATGCAAAGGAGAATCATTTCTACCAGTGACCAATAGGTGGAACAAGGCAGAGCTCTGCCTCGTGTGATGACCTGTCTGAAGGACACCAGGGAGGCTCAGGACATGACTCCCCTCCCTCTAGTGACTCTCTTTCTAGTTTCCAGAGCCCTGTGTGCCCTGGGCTTTCCCTTCTACTTCTGCCTTCTCTCTGTCCTTCATCTTCTCCACTGGGCTCAGCCTCTGGAATGAGCTCCCAGCCCAGCCCACGTTTGTAAGATCAGCCGTGCACCAAGGATGCTCCCAAGCCTTGGCCCAGCTCCAGACTCTGACTAATGGCCCAAGTGGGATGTGGTAGTGCCTATCATCCCAGCACTCGGGAGGTCAAGACAGGAGGATCAAGAGTTTAAGGACATCCTTGGGTACTTAGTAAGTTCGAGGCAGGCCTTGGCTACATGAGCCATCTCAACAACAGCAATAAAAGGAGCTAGAGTGTAGATCAGTTGGCAAATGGCCGTGAAAACAGGAGGACCTGAGTTCAATCCCCGGCATCCATATGAAATAATCCAGGCAGGGTGGTGCATGTCTGTGACCTCAGAGCTGGACAGGCAGAAACCTGGGCCTCACTGGACAGTCGGCCTAGCCTAATTGTTGAGTTCCAGGCCCACGAGAGACCCCCACCTCAAAAAGATAACTCTTGAGGAACAACACCCAAGGTTGAACTCTGGCCTCCAGTTGACATGCACACATAAGTACACACACATACACACACACAAAATCAATCAAACAAACCTACTGACTGCCTGACACTTGCCCTTTGATGTCAGATCACAAGATCGCATAGCTAGGAGAGCCCCTCACAGACCCTCCTGGCTCCCCATGGTCACTGCTGAGCAAACTGCTCTGCCTCCCCTTCATAGCCAGCACCCAGTTGCCATGTAACTAACCATTCTCTCCACACCTCCAAGTAATCCCAATATACCAAGCAACCGGAGCCAGCATTGCTGTTTTTGTTAGGATTTAAAAATTGTATTTATTTGTGTATGTGATGAGTGTATATGTATTACGAGTGTTCCTGTGTGTGTGTGTGTGGTGTGTAAATTAAAGGACAGCGTGTTAGAACTGGTTCTTTCCTTCCACCATGTGCATTTCAGGGTTTGAACTCAGGCTGTCAGGCTTGGCAGCAAGCACCTTTACCCCCTGAGCCATCTCACCTGCTTCAATACTTTTTATTGTGGCTGAAATGTTAGTGTTCATGCCGCCTCTTTCTGGCTGTAATTTTTTTGTTTTGTTTTTGAGAAACAGTCTCACTCTGTAGACCAGGCTGGTCTTGAATTCATAGATCTGCCTGCCTCTGCATCCCAAGTGCTGGGATTAAAGGCCTCTCTGATGCCAACTGCTGTCCTTCTGTTCTTCCTCACCATTCTGAACAAAAAGCAGAAGTCAACAACAGAGAACAAGGTTATCCCACACACTTGGGTGGTGCCAGGGATCAAACCTGGGGTCTCACATGCTAGGCAAGTCCTGCCTCGTCACACACAGGTCCCTGAGCCTCATGCAGACATGGCCATGGAGCTGTTACAGCTGGTAGTGAATCACATGGTGTGGGCTCAGGCAACAGATGTAACTCTGGAAAACCCAAGCCCATCTCTGGCTGAAACCACATCCACTTCTATCCCTTTTTTTTTCATTTTCTCACGTGCTCCCAGAGCCAGGACCTGGCCTGTGCTCTCCAAAGGGAAGTGGTAGACGGTCTCAAATGGAAACACTGGAGGCAGCCTCCTCTTCCTGCTAGGGGAGAGTGAGGAAGCTCAAGTAGAGACATCCTCCAAGGACTGGGCTTACATCTTCCCTGATATGCTCTGTGAGCATCAGGAGGAGGGAGGGCAGGACCACTACAGAGGGCTGCTGAGCCAGTGGCTGACTCTCAGGCAAGCTGGGGAAGAAATGTGAAGGATGGGTGAGGCAGGGTAGGGCAACGACTTTAGTAGCAAACAAATCAGCAATGTCTAATCACACAGTTCCAAAGCTTAACTGTGGCCTCTTCTCAGAGCAATGTTCTCTCAGTGCACAAAGTTACCTTGAAATGTGAATATTAACTATAATCATGAAAAGCCGCAGTACTCAGCAGGCAGAGGCAAGCGATCTCTGTGAATTCAAAGTCAGCCTGGTCTACATGGTAAGTTTCAGGACAGTCAGGGCTACATAAAGATATCCTGTCACAAGAAAACAAAAGGAAACGAATGAAAATCCAGTTCATAGCTACTCTTGTTTTTTGTTTGTTTGTTTGTTTTTGTTTTTGTTTTTTGAGATACGGTTTCTCTGTATTGCTTTGGAGCCTGTGCTGGAACTCACTCTGTAGACCAGGCTGGCCTCGAACTCAAAAAGATCCCCCGCCTCTGCCTCTGCCTCCTGAATGCTGGGATTAAAGGCATGTGACATCAACACCTGATTATCATAGCTACTCTTAACTACTTTTACGATTTTTATTATTGTGGTTGTTTTGAGACAGGGCTTCTATGTGAAGCTCTGGCTGTCCTGGACTTGCTCTGTAGACTAGGCTGGCCTCAAGGTCACAGATCTGCTTGCCCCTGCCTCCCATGTGCTGGAACTAAAGGCATGTGCCACCACCGCCTGGCTCAGTTGTGATTTTTAAATGTCATAGTGGTATTGGTGCTACCTGGCTTGCTGCTTACCACAAGTTAATAGGAATAAAGATGCATTTCCCCACCTAAGCTCAGGGGCCTCTTGGGGATGTTCTGTCTTACTGATTGGTGGCATCACCTCTCCACCCAGCTACAGTGAGAGTTCTGCAGGGACTGAAGTCATTCTATTGCCTTTCACTGAGTATCTAAAAAGGGCCTGGCTGTGTCTGTGGAATTTCCCAGGCAAGGTATTACAATGGTGTCAGATGACAGCTTCTCTCTTCTTAATCGTCAACCTTCCTTATTTCTTGCCTTACTGCTTTGACTGGGATCTCTCACCCCACCCCCCACCCCTACCCTCACCCCCACCCCGAGACAGTGTTTCTCTGTGTAACAGTCCTGGCTGCCTCAGAACTTGCTTTGTAGACCAGGCTGGTCTTGAGCTCAGAGATCCTCCTGCCTCTGCCTCTTAGTGCCCTGACTAAAGTTGTGCACCACCACATCCCAGTTTGACTGAGATCTTTTACAGTGCTTAATAGCAGCAGTGACCACAGGTGTTCAACACTCCGTTACTAATTTATACAGTGTTCTAGTTTCATCTGTTTCTGTCACAAACACCCTGACAAAAACCTCACAATTCCTGTTACAGTCCATTATAGTGGGGACATCAAGGCAGGATCTTAAAGCCTCATGTCCACAGTCAAGAGTAGATAGAGAATAACTCAGGAATCCTGCTTGCTTCATTGCTCACAGCTAGCTTTCTCCTCTCTCATGCAGCCCAGGACCCACAATGGGCTGGGTCTTCCCACACCTATTAACAATTAAGAATCCATACAGACATGCTTCACAAGCAACCTGCTCTAGAAGTTTTCTGTTGAGACTTTCTTTCCAGGTGATTTTAGGTTGGGTCAAGTTGAGGGCTAAAAGGGACCAGCACATACAGCAGGGAGTCAGCCAGAGCCTGAATGAGTACTGTGCCACCTCCTGTCCATACTGGTTGTGACTCCCAGCAGGTGATGTCAGGTTTGATAAGGATCTGGGGCAGGGGCGAGGGGTGCCGCTAGCCCACAACCTACAGGTGTTTAAAATGAAACAAGTGGACCGCTTAATTAGTCTGGATTGACATAAACCTTTTAGGGGCCTCACACGCAGGAGCTCTGAAGGGCTGGAGCTCTTAAGAGGCTGGATCATCGCTTCCATTTTGGGCTGCAGCGGGCCTGAGTAAGCACTCTAGGAAGCCCACTCCTTCCCTGAGTGTCACCCCCCACACACACATACAAATTCACAACGTCTCTCGGTGCACCCCGAGTTTACCCCGCCCCCAGATACATTTCTCCTGGTCTGACTCTTCTTGGAACCATCTCCATGGGCACATAAAAGTTTCTCTTTAACCTGCTCTTGTTTCAACTGTCCGGTGAAGCCAGCTAGGGAGTGCATCTCCTCCAGTAAGCACAGAGGCTTTGGAGGCGGGATGGGGGAGGTGGTCCTTGGGGAGGCCCACCGGGTCACGGGAGCGTGCAGTCACCTAGGACAAGGCAAGGAGCCTTGCAGAAGAGCCCCAGCCCTGTGCTTACTTCGGTCTTTGTCATTGGAGAGCCGCTTCAGAGTTAGGGCCTCTCAGCTGTGTGGGAGCGCATTGGTGCCTCCAAAGGCTCCAGAGTTTGTAGCAAGTTAGGGCAGCTGTGGAAACTCCCGCCACACCACACCCCCAAGGCCATGGGACCGCCCCCTGGGCTCTTCAGAGCAGGGGTGTGCTTGAGTGTGCCCTGGAGTGAGAACCGAGCTGAGCAGATTGCAGTCAGGTAATGAGGATGAGGCTCAGGCGGACCCCCTTTCGTCCAGCCTCAGCCGCATCTCAGGCTGGGGGTGTCCTGCCCTACAAGCAGCGGCCGGGCTGCTGCGGGGCAGCGGGCGGCCTGAGGGCCTGGAGGGAGGAAGGAAGCCCTGGCCACCCTCCATCCCCGTGATTCGTGATTCGCGCGACTGCCCCTAGGCAGGACCTTTGTCCATCCTGGCTGGGGCCTAGCTGGGGATGTTGGGGGGTAACCAGGCCAGGCCTGGTTGGGGTGACTGAGGCCCGGTGCTGCTTCGTGGACTGTGACTGGCTCACCCCGCTATCCTCCCTGGGGAATGGGGCACTGACAAGCGCCTCCTCTCCTAGTGGGTGTTACCAGGATCCACCACCCTAGCTCTGACACACCCATCACTGTGTGACTTTGTGACCGGTGGAGGAGGTAACAGTGTCCCCCTCCTACAGGTGGAGAGAGCCAGCAAAGGAGGCACAGCCAGCCCAGCCAGCACTGCCAGCAGGTGGGTGTGAAGCCCTAAGCCCTGTTGCCCATCCCAGAGGCCCATAGCCACTCCAGGGAGACAGCAGGAGGCAAGGGGGTACAGGTAGTGCTTGCACCCCAGGAGGAGGTTCCAAGGAGCCAGCCTACTGGTGCATTCTAGCAGCAGGAATCCCAATTCAGCGGCACCGTTTGGAAACCATTTGAACCCCCCATCTGTTGGGTTCAGGGGCACCAAGGACAAGAATGTTGGGTGGGCTAGGGTATACTGTAAGACTGAGAACGGCACACATCTTCCCCCATGTCCTCCCTGCTTTACCTAGCACCTATACCCACTGGGTGCAAGGCTCTACACACCTTAGCTGTGAGACTGTGCCTCTCTCTGTGTCTTAGTGTTCGTTTCTGCCCCCATGGCATTCTGAGTGATGTCTACCTCCCAGGACTGCTGAGATGGTTGGGGGAGTCCCCATCTAGCATAGGGTCACTTGAGAGCTGTGTTCCTCTATTCTTCGCCTTGACCCCCTGAAAGTACTTCTGCATCCTGGTCACTTCACTTCAGGTCGGTGGGGACTCTCCGAGGTTTGCAGTGTTTCCTGACCACCCACCACTGCTGCTTGAGGTTTCTTGAGTAAGGCAGAGTCTGGGGACAGAAACTTCTGCCTCCAGAACACCCCTGGCCAAAAGACTGGTCAAGGCAGGGTTTGAAAATCTCTAGGCTAAGACTTACCCAATTTCAGAGCTTCCTTTGGCCCACAACCCTCCCTTGGCCATGGTTTAGCAAAAAGGAGGAAAGCCCAGACTGTTTGTGTTCCCAGACTTCCTTTCTCAGCTACCCCAGCTGGAGTCTCTATGTCCCTTCCTAACGCCCACTCCATCTAGGCCAGCCACAAGTCTGGCTGCTGTGATGCCCAAGTCCAGACCTCCATCCTCCTAGGTTCTCCCCACCATGTCCCTGCTGTGACTTTTATCCCCCCAGCTCCTCAGCAGTTCTCACAAGCTGGGGGCCCTGGTAGACACCCCAGTCCACCCCTTCCTGCAATTTATCTTAATTCACATCTCCTGCCCTGCTTCTCTGGCTCTGTCCACTCCCTACTCTGTCCTCTTAAGTTCTTGCTGTCAAAGTACCTTCCTCTTAATTGTCCCCACAATCTTCTTGAAATTCAGGAAGCCTCTGTGTCACTTCCTCAGGAGCCTGGCCACCCTATCTGAAAGAGTCAGGCTTCTCATCTTGTGCTTTTTTTCATCTACTGTCACGCACCGGGAAGCCTGGGGAGTGTGACCTCGGTGTGCTGTCCTTGTGATGTTTGTCATCGCCAGACTGAGTGCCTAGCCTGGAGGACAGGCACATATGGCTCCTATCTTTGCAAGCACAGAGTTGGTTCACACTTATCAGTTCTGGTTGCTCAATGGCCTGCTTTCTCCACCTCTGCCCAGACCCTCGAGTGTCCTTCCTCCCTGTTTGTGTGGCTTTCAGCTTCTCCCATGCAGGTTTTTTGGGTTGCTTATGGCATTCACTGTGATAGAACACTGCTGCTGGTAGATTTGCTGGGATACTGTGTGAAGGAAAGTGGCCAAGTCTAGGGTATAGCCATTTGGAAGGTGCTGGTCCCTGCAGCTAGATGTCTGTCTAGGTCACATCTTTCCAGCCATGGGTGAGGTTTCTCCATAGCCACTCAGGCATTGGGTTTTATCATTTTTATTTGTTTTGGGCTTATTTGTTTTATAGTTTATTGTGGAAGACATGGGAGTTTGAAACCCTCTGTCAGGACTGGAGAGATGGCTCAAGGGTTAAGAGGTCCTCTTCTAGAGGTCCTGAGTTCAGTCCCCAGCAACCACATGGTGGCTCACAACCATCTAAAATAGGCTCTGACACTCTCGTATATATGCAGAACACTCATCCATAAAATATAATAAATAAAATTAAAAAAAAAAGAAACTCTGTCCTCAGCTGGTGAAGCCCATGTCTTTCTGTATCTGAGTTAATTTTGTTTCTGCTTTGAAAACAAAGGTAATATCAAGGATCCTTTAACTCCTCCTTTGCCTACATGGAGGTTGTTTGTTGTTTTTTTTTTAATTTTTCAAGACAGGGTTTCTCTGTGGCTTTGGAGGCTGTCCTGGAACTACCTCTATAGGCCAGACTGGCCTCAAACTCATAGAGATCTGCATGCCTCTGCCTCCCGAGTGCTGGGACTAAAGGCGTGAGCCACCATGCCCAACTTTCTTTGCTTAACTACATTAAGTGTGTGTGTGTGTGTGTGTGTGTGTGTTCGAGCCACATGTGGAATTTAGAGGATACCTTGCCAGAGCTGATTTTCTCCTTCCACTATGTGAGTCCTGGGGATCAAACTCAGATTGTCAGGCTTGGCAGCAAGGACCTCTGCCAGCTAAGCCATCTCTCTGGCCCTTTCCTGCAGTTGTGTAGGAGCATGTAGCTGAACTCCACTGTTGCCAGTCATCTGGGCTGGAGGGCACAAGAAGAGAAGAGAGAGGGCTCAAGGGGGAGTGAGTTTTGGAGGGGTTAAGTCTTTGAATATTTTTCTCAAGCTGATGGCATTTTGTATTTGTAACTAGAAAAATAACCCAGGGGGTGCTGAGGTGACAGCTCAGTTGGTAAAAGGGCTTGGCACACCAGCATGAGGATCTGAGTTTGACCCTGGTTCTTAAATAAACAGATGTCGGTGATGCTACATGTCTAGAATCCTAGTTCTGGGAGGCAGAGACAAGAAGACCTGTGCTTTCGTTAGCAGCCAGTCTCACTGAATTGCTTAGCTCCAAGTTCAGTGAGAGAACTTGTTACAAAATCACATGCAGAGAAATTGAGAAAGAGATCCAATGTGGGCCTGGCTCACTGTTGGAAATATGTACAAATGCATACAATGCAAGGTGTGTAGAGCTACCCAGTGGGGTTCTGGCATGGGAAGGGGGTGGGAGACCACCGGCGACCTCGCTGCATTCCCAAGTGGAGTACCGGGCATCACAGTAAATACCTCTGTCTAGAGTGAGTTGCCACAGTGTGGTCCCCTGGGAACTGTGAGTGTCCTCGGTTTGTAGCAGAGACTATATATACATTTGGTGGTTTTAAAAAAGTCCCATCTATTATCTCACAGTTCTGTGGCTCAGAAGCCTAAAAGCAGTTTCCATGGTCCAAATGGAGAGGCCTCCAAGCCTTTCTTCCAGAGGCTCCGTGTGGGTCTGAGGGTCCTTGCCAACCTCTAAGGGTGTACACAGCATGCTCTAGCCTCCTTCCATTGTGGCAGCCACCTGGCATCTGCAGGCTTCTCTCTGCTGGCAGCTCCATCACTCTCACACCTCGGCTGCTTAGACAGACCCTCCTGATGACAGAGTGTCCACATGGGCAGTCTCCTGTCCAACAATCTTTAATTGTTGTGCACACATAAAGTAATGAACTCCTGGGTTCCAGGGAAAGGGGCCTAGGTGCTCTGGGGGATTGTTAAGCTACCCACTCCATCCTAAAAGGAAATAAGTCCGGTTCTGTGAGAGGAACACATCACTCACATTTGTGTTAGAAGGAAGTGAAGGGGGGAGTATGCACATACCTCTCCATATGAAGAAAGAGAACACCCCCAGAAGACCACAAAGATGCTGGTCAGAGTGGACGCTTCTGGGAAGGAGGTGCAGGGTAGAGGCTGACTCACTAGCAGACATCTTTCTGTACTGTTTAAAGTTTTACTATATACCTCTGTCACCTATGTTAAAAATAATTTTGAAAAAATCACACGCAGTCATTCCAGAACCAAAGAAAAAGAAAGGAGCTACCAATGACCAAAGTTTTCCTTTAAAAAACAGACCAGAGATGGGTGGTGCTGGCATACACCTTTAATCCCAGCAGAGGCAGGAGGATCTCTGTGAGTTCGAGACCAGCCTGGTCTACAAGAGCTAGTTCTAGGACAGGCTCCAAAGCTATACATTGGAAACCCTGTCTCAATAAATAAATAAATAAATAAATAAATGAAAAAAAGGCAGATCAGGACCTGGGAAAATGGCTTAGGGGTAGAGTGTGTGCTACTCTTGCAGAAGACCTGAGCTCATTTCCTGGCACCTGTACTGAGCAGCTGACAACCACATGAAACTCCAGCTTCAACTGAACTTCTGTCTGGCCTGTGAGGGCACACACTACACACTATACTACACTACACCCACACTACACCACACACACACACACACACACACACACACACACACACACTTTAAAAATAAATCTTAAAAGAAAATTATTTGTTGGGGGTAGTGCATACCTGTGCTTGGGAGGCAGAAGCAGGGAGATCTCTGTGAGTTTGAGTCCAATCTGGTCTACAGAGAAAGTACACAGCCAGCCAGAGCTACATGTTACAGACTTGCCTCAGAATTTCTTTTCAAAGTGTGTGTGTGTGTGTGTGTGTGTGTGTGTGTGTGTGTTGTAGCACATGTGTGGAGGTCAGAGGGCAGCCTGTGGGAGGCTGTTCTCTCCTTCCACAATGTGGTGGAAAGTCCCAGGGATTGAACTCAAGTTGTCAGATATGGGGACAAATACTCTTACCATCTCACCATCTCCAATTTTCCTTTTTTTTGTTTGTTTGTTTTGAGACTGGGTTTCTCTGTGTAGCCCAGGCTGGCCTGGAACTCACAAAGATTTATCTGCCTCTGCCACCAGAGTACTGGGATTAAAGGTGAGCACCACAACACCTAACCTGATTGTCCTTTTTGATTTTGAGACAGGCCCTCACTATGCAGTCCAGGCTAGCCTTGAAGTCATAGTCCTCCTTCCTTAGCCTCTTGAGTGCCAGGTTACAGGTACACCACCATGCCAGGCTCAGCATACAAGGTGCTGAATCTAGCTGTCTTCCCTTAGTGTGGGGTTTTCAGGACTCATCAACATTGTAGCAACTGTTAGTGTCTCCTGTTTGAAGACTAGATAGTATTCCATTGTGTGTCTTTATCCATCCCTCCATTGACGGACCACGTTGTTTCTACTCATTGGCCACACACAGATGTCCAAAGGTGGATCCGATCCATCGCTCAACCAAGTGTTCATTAAGACTTTGTTTGACTGTCTTCCCAGATTGTACACTTCCAACACATTTTGTGACCTTATTTTTAGTTGCTGTTCAAACTGATCTGAGGACAGATCGAGAAGTGCACACTCAGTGACAGTAGGGTGACGTGTGTCAGCCACCAGTTCTCACTGTTGGAACCTGAGACGGCAGGAAAATGACTTCCCAGGACCAAAAGGTAAATCACCTCTGGAGGTTCCCGCTGTGAGGGGAGAATCCTGTGGACGTTTCTTGCATGTCAGAGAGAAACCCCATTGTAAGGTGTTGTGCCTTGCCTTCAGTCATGAAGGGGGAACTACTGCTGTTCTGTTTCACAGAACCCAGTGGCAGGGGACCAGGGTCCGCCATGCAAACCCTGACTTGTTTAAGAACCACAATTGCCCGGGCCTGGCCTGTATCAGTCCCACGCTACAGAGGCCATCTATTCTGGGCTGATGTCTTTGGGGCTGCAATTGGATCCAGCCGAACAGCCCCGAGTCCATCCCTGAGTGGGAGAGTATGGACCCGGGGAAGCTAATTACCCAAAGATGTTAAAGATGAGACAGGAAACACCAGATCATCTCAAGAGTGCTCCCAATGGATGCCAAGAAGCCATGGTTTATTGAAGAGTCCACTTAAGTAGTTTTCCAAGAGTGAGGGTAACAGCAGAAGGCATCTGTTATCATGTAGGAGGCTAGGAGATGCCTCCCTTAATCCTGGGGATAGTCTTGGAATGCACTTATACAAGCCCCCTGACATTCTACAAGGACACATCTGGCTAGTCACTTACTAGTTTCTAGGCAAGTTCTGCCAGCCCCATGACGGGCGTTCACCCAGCGGCCTAGGTCTATTGTTAAACTATGAACCATTCCCCAACAAGGCATCTGGAGGTAATCAGCTGGCATCTGAAAGACAATGGGAGATTCAGGTTCCTGGAATCAGGCTGAGGTTTGCACCCCAAAATATCATAATCGATATTTTCGGGCCCCAACACACAATGTCAGAGCCTAACTGGGTATGGAGGCGGAGGGGAACAGGGAGGGGGACAAACCTGCAATCCCAACACTCAGTGGGAGGGTCAGGGTCAGGAGTTCAAGGTCACCCTCTGCTATGTAGTGAGTTTGAGACTAGACTAGCCAGAACCCACTCGCTGAAGCAAAGCAAGGGTTCCTGGATGGTGTCAGGCTTGGTAAAATTGCTGGGTTCTTCGGGTAGATTCTTGACTGCCACCAAGGCAGGGGGTCTACTACCTACAGCTAGTCGGATGAAGTTGTCTTCAGTCTTTGGTTATTGTGAGATGGGGGACATAGTAAGGGTGACGGATGGCAACGCTGGCCCAGGGTTGCATTTTGGTTTGCTCGTGTGGTTTTTACTAGTGACCATGAGCATTGATGTAGGCAGAGGTGTGTCCCCAGAGGAAGCAGCCACAGCTGAAGCTGGGATGGAGATCCAGGAGTGTCTAAGGATGAGAATGAAGCTTGACAGTTGCAGAGATAAATTACAAGGTGCTGAAGGCTTGTCACCAGCCTGTATCAGGGTGTGGGGCCAGCAGGAGAAGTGGACAAATGCAGAACCTAGCTGGGATACACCTTGGGGAAGTAGAGTCAGGTGGGGCATGATGTCACCACAGAGGGGCTGTCTCCATTGTTGACTAGCTGGCTAGGACCCCTTGTGGTAGACTTGCTTGGTCAGACAGCATGCTCCTGCCATGGCTGAGCCTGGCCTGCTACACCATGCTTTGGAATATGCTTGCATAAAGAGTTTGGCCTTGAACTTGTCCAGAAGCCTAGATTTTTCTTTGTTAATTATGCTTATTTGTGTGTCTCTCTGTGTGTTCTCATGTGTACTGTACCGTGGTGTATTTGTGGCTGCCCAAGGACAAACTTGTGGTAGTCCATTCTCTCTTTCCACCACGTGGGTACCAGAAATCAAACTCAGGCCATCAGGCTTGGTGGCAGGGACTTTACCTGTTGAACCATATTCCTGGCTCATGGCCTCCTAGGTTTTGATAACACAGGCATGGGGTAGGAGTATGTATCACTGCACAGACCAGTGCAGTTACCAGTTCTGCTGGGATGGGCTTGGCCCTTTCTCCTTTTTCCTTTTCCTGCTCCTCAGTTTCCCATTCTGGGAAATGGGGGTAAATTACATTAGCCCACAGAGGTACAGTGAAGATTATACCTAATAGTGGTCTGTGGCCTTAGCAGGGTACCCAGGGACAGCTGCCACTTATGTCACAGGCTGCTGACTCCATGATGGGACAGGCAGGGGTTGTGGTCCATCTGCTGGCCTTATTCCACAGTTCAGATGAATGTATGTACCTGGCTCATCTTTGGGGCTTGAAAGGCAGGTGTGTGGAGCTGGGGGTGGGGTACACATAATTGGCTCACTTCCTCAGGAGATGCTGGGCTTGGCTGTGGCTCTCAGCCTTGCTGTACTTAGGGTGTGCTCATGAGTTCTGAGTGTGTGATTGCCGTGTGCCAGGTGATACCGGGGTGTGGCTCAGTCATGTAAGCTTGTCTACTGTGTGTGAGGCCCCCAGTCGCATCCAGCACTGAAGGGATGCTTCTGGTCACTCCAACATGCAGCTGGCCCTCTCTGTGGAATTGTCAGTGGCACTGGGGGGGACACAAACCTTAAGAACTCCCTTCCCTGTCTGGGAAACTCCACTTAGGTAAAGTCAAATCCTTGACTGTGACAGAGAGAAGAATTTCAGCCAGGACGGACGAGCCAGACTGAAACAAAGCTAGTGAGTTTATTAAGAATTTAGACAGACAGACATATAGGAGGACAGACACAGCCTCAAGGCACGGGTTTCAGCTTCTTGTGGGAGATGCACTTAGGTGTAGCTGCATATTAAAAAATAAAAAAAAGTGGGGCATGCTCTTTAGGCTGAGGGATTTGAGCAGCAGGCACTCATACAGGAGGCTTGAAGATACATACCCCCCGCCCCGCCCTAAGTGAGACAATATACTTGCCCTTGGCATTCATGGTTGAGGTGTCTTCAGGGCAACACACATTGTCTCTGTTCTGTCAGTTGTATTGAAGTTTTTCTCAGGGAGTTAGAGAGACAGCCTGGATGACAGAGAATGGCTACTTTTCATGTCCCCTCCGTGTACCTTGGCTCATTCCAGAAGGGAGCAGCAAAGAGGGGCCACAGGCCCCATAGGCCTTTCCTCTGTGGACTTCATGGCTGAAGCATCACCCTCACATTGGTCCCCAAGTGACAGCACACAGCTTCTAGGTGGAGAACTCACCCTTCCTCTGCTTTTGTGAAGCAGCCCAGCTCATGGTACCAGGTGATGTGGCGTGGCTAGTGTCACAGGCTTTGCATCTGGCTCCCATCCCCGAACATCATCATCTCTGTCCCCACGCCTGTTTGGACAGGGTATACATAGGTCCTTTGGAAATAGAATGGAGAGGTGAACAGTAGGAGGAATGCCACCTAGGGTAATTAGGGTGTGCCGGGGTGAGGCATGACGGAGAATCTCTGTCCCAGGCTGATCCCCACCCCAGCATGGGCTTCAGTAGCCCTGGGTCACATTCTTAGTGGGTTATGTAGGAAACAAGGAACACTCCACTGGGCAGCCTGGGTTACAGTCCGACTGTTTCTCTCTAGCTGTGTGACTTTTAGCAAGTCTCTTGGCCTCTCTGTTCTTGGTTTTGGCATCGGCAAATGAGGCCAATTTGGACCCATGTGGAAAGGATGTGCTATTGTTCTGAGCAACTCTATATAGATCTCCCGATTTAGTGGATGCTTGCTGTAGGGTTGGGGAGGATGTACCATTGTCCCATTCTTGTGTCAAAGTCATTGCCCCATACAGCATCCAAGCACATCTCTGACCCTCCAGGTGAACATGAGGTGAGTGAGGAGCAGCTCTAAACAGACCTGGGTTGCTAGTCCCCCCCACCTGAGCCACTCAGCCACAGAGGGGTTGTTTTTGCAAACCTCAAACTTCCTCCCCACCCTCGAGAAGGAAAGACTTCAACGCCTATTTACAGACTTCCCTGATTTTATAAATAGGCATTCCTCAGAACACCAAGCCAGAGTGGGGGCGGGGCTGGTGGGCTCAGGGCACCCTGCCTCTCACAGGGAGACACTTGCGGCTGGTGTGTTTTCATTGCAGTGTCCCTGAGTTTGGAGCCCGGGTCCTGGCAGGCGTGGAAGGTACGGTGTGAGCAGGAACCTGTGCGCCCTGCGCCCTGGGTTGTTCAGTCAGGCGTGAGGGTGACAGAGGAGGTGCAGAAGTGTATGATGGGGGCAGGCTGGCCAGCACCCCTGAGCTGGGACACTTGGAAGGAACCTAAAATGGGAAAGAAAAGCTAGACTACCAAATGAGAGGGGTTTACATATTCCAGGCCAGAGGAAGCCACCAGTGCAAAGGCCCTGAGGCCAGACAAACCTGCCAGGTACAAAGGCTGAATGGAGCCAGTATGGTTAAGAAGGGAGGCTGATGAGACCAGGTATGTGGGCAGAGCTGCAGCAGGAGGAAGAGGGGAGAGCGGGGTGGGCTTTACCATTTAAAGTAGTGGGAAGCCAAAGACGTTTTAAGCAAAGGACTATGGCAGGGGTCCCCAATACCATCTTGTGTTCAGCGCCTTGCTGGCAAGGCTACAAGAAAGCAGACATGTACCCCGGGGTTAGCCAGCCAAGGGGAAAGCATTGGGCTGAGACGGCAGGAAGCTGGCCACATGCAACAGACTCTCCTCCCCGGGGTTACACAGGACAAGCTGTTTCCTCCAGCAACGAGCTGTGACAGAACACAAGGTGTTCAGGACCAGAGAAGCCAGTTAGACACCAGACCACACCCACAGGATTTTAGTTTTATGAGACAAGCTCTTGTCTTGAACTTTTCAATCCTCCTGCCTCAGCCTCACCAGAGCAAGAATCCCAGGTGTGCACCAGCAGGCTCGGTCCTATGAGGAGGATGGTCCCTTGGGGATCACCCTGGGGCAGTCTCAAAGCCCCTGGCTAAAAGAACAGCAGGAGATCAATGTAAAGGAGACTGCTTTGTATGTGAGGGAGGGGTGGGATGCCACATCCCTTACAGAGCCCAAGTTCTGAGATGCCAGGAGATGAAAAGGTAGGCAGGCTGTTTGAGGATAGCAGCTGTCAGCCACCTAAGCTCTGTCTGTTCTGTAGAGATGGAAATGGGTTCTGGAGCCCTCTGGCAGACAGTGGGAAAATGGGGGTGCGGA